AAGGCTCTTTGCACCACAGGCGATGAAGAGGAAGGTAGACACCGGTGAGTAATGGCTTTGACAGCGTAGAAAATCTGGGGATAGGAGTGCTGATGTCTGAAAAGCCTTAAGTCCTAGCGTACATAAGTGATTTGATTCGTAACTGCTTAGCACACCATTTCACATGTAGAGAGACTTCATGTAGGGTTCTTTAAACACTGATGGAAGGAAGTTCTTCAAGGTAGGGAGTGATTCATGTGTCCCTAAAGGAGGGCTATGATACACTGGGGGCTTAGAACATAGGACTGCATCTACACGTTTCCAGTCTAGCTTCCCCCAGAATCACACACATTTTTTCCACTGAGGCTACACTCAGTGGAATTTGAGTCCCAGAAAAGCTGAAGGATTTATCTAATAGGAAAACTATTGCAGTATTAAAAGTCTAGGGTGGCTGTGATTGATGTGTTTTAACAATTACTATGTCTTGTCAGGCTTCTTGTGTGGCGCCATTTCTGTAATTAATGGGCAAGGACTTTCTAATTCTCCTCAGTACTCCTCAAGGGGTGCCAAGACACTTGAACTTTCCATAAAATATCACTGAAGGAGGTGGAACAGGATTGCCAGGGCCAGCTCTAGTGTTATGCCATCTCAGTGCTAAGGCCTGAAACCAGGTGTAATGCCCCAGCACTGATGCAATACCCAGTGCTGAGTCCATAGGGCAGCCCTTCAGGGTCTCACATTTGGTAGGGATTCAAAAAAAAATCCTGCTGGAATGGCACACTGCTAACATGGGTTTTCAGCCGTCACCTAACACAAAGCCCCATAGGTGCCCAGCACCCAATCTATGTGCCTTATTGCAATGGTATGGCTGTAGGATAACATTTCCTACCTGACAGCATACATGGGGTTGTCTCTTCATGACATGTCCTACTCCCCATAATGGAGATCATTATGATGAGGAACAAGTGAGTTGAGTGGTTGGAGTGACAACAGACTTATGGCTGCTCTACTTGGTATGAACGCCAGCTAAATACCTCCAATTCTTTGTCAGGGCCCTGGTTTTAAAATCTGGTTTTCAAGCCTAGCACGTCTGTTTTGTAACATGCTCCAGACATCAGTTATTAAATGTGGATGAGTTATTTACAGTCTTTTTTTCAGGCACCAGTTACACAGCTCTGGGCGCCACTGGCAGGCAAACATTTTTAGTATTTGCCAAACTGCGTGGCTTCTGAGAAATATTTACTTTACTACATCTCTGTCATCTTTTGATGTTAAAACCTGTGTCAGAGTGATGGCATGGAGGCAGTCCTGGGATATGAAAGGGAATCCATAGCATGGTAGAAGATACGCTCTTCTCACCACGTGGCAGAAACAATTCTGTGGTACTTCATGCTGAAGGATTCCTTTCATTAGTTCTCTAAGCCAGCCAAGGGCACCTGAACTACACATATTCTAGAAGTAGGTGCATAATGCCACCATAGTAGCATCACCTTGAAAAATCAAATGGATTTGCATAATAGGCTTTACCTAAGCAATACTACCAGTGACAGTAGGTGTTGCAGTCTTCTGTATAACAACATTACTAGGTCCCAGATTTTTATATATATCTATATAAGTGCTTGCATATACATACACACACCCCTATCTGCACATGCAGAGCAGTGTCACTGGATCCTCTAGTGAGGGATGGAGGCCATAGAGAGGAGAAAGAACTCAGGAGAGTAGAGAGTACAGCACCTCCATACCAAGAGCTAATGGAAAATTAATTTATACACTAGCAATACTGATTTTCTAGCATGTTGGTTTAAGCTGTACAAGGTCATTAAAATGTGATTAAAAATTATTTCATTACAGCTATTCTATGCTCTCTTGGTATGTCCAGTTGTGTGAGCACTGTGCAAAGCCAGCCACTCGTGTGAGTGGCATGTGTGAGCATCATACAGGGCCTAATGTATACCAGCCACTATATCAATATATATAGCGGTTGTTAAAACTCACCCAATGAGTGAAGGTGGTGGCAAAATGAAAGATGATCCTACAAGATACCAAAGCTGGCTGCAATGAATTCCATAACAGATTTTCATAAATGAAATTTGGGAAATGCATTTTGGGTTCTATGTTCTTCCCCTTATGTAAGATCATTGAAAAACTTTAATTGGATCCCTGTGATGTGCACTGACCCAAATACTGAGCAGACAGAAACTGCACAAGACTAAGTCTTAGAAGCCTGATGTAAAATGAGATAGCTTTTTAATGACAGGATGTAATTAATATACAACATAGCTCAGACTTAATTGTTATAAAAGCCAAATGATTTTGGCCACTGATCTTGTATGCATAAACCCCAGAGTTCCATAGACAATATGCTCACAGAAAATATATGGATTCTGAGAGGAGTAACTTGTTCAAGTGGTAAAACCAAAATCGTAATTTCATTGTTAAATTCAGCAGGGCATTTTGTCTTGCTCCCTTCAGTGTCAGCAAGAGGATAAAAGAAACTTTTTTTTCTTGATTCTTAGTCTTGGCCACCACCTCTGATCCTCAATTCCTATTGTTGCGTGGTAGTTAAACAGTAAACCCCAAAACTGCAACACAGTATGCAAATTCCAAAATTAAGGTTGTCAATGGCATAATTTGTATACTAGTTTTGAAATATCCAAATTTCACTTAAGACATATCAGCATTCCAGTTGTACCAGTTAGCAACACATACGAGCATTCCAGTTAGTAGGGTCAGAAATTCATAATCTCATAGAAAAGTAAAAATAAAATCAGAAAAGGTTATGTGGGAGGTAACACCAAGGTACTGCACAGAGCTAGCAGGTTAGTAAATTCATTTGTGTGAGGAGTTTGCTTCTGCTTCTTCATATCTGGACAGTTTCTTTGCAAAGGTGTATTCAAAGGTTCAAATGTGGAAAAGTATTTTAAAAATCTGGTGAGGTGCCTGATTCAATCTTCTGAAAACAGAGTGAATCTGTGAAACATACGTTCTACTGCTCCTCTCCAAGTTTTTTCTCTGTTCTATCAGACCTCCATACTGGAATGCTTATCTTCAGATATTCTGTTTTGTCTACCCAGTCATGCAAGCCTACAATCCTCCTGCAGTAAGCATCTGCATCAAAGTCAGCATTGGCAAGTGTAATTATGTGTTAAAACAGACAAATCAGAGACATACTGCAGCTCTTGGTTCATTCTGATAGAAGCAAGCCTTGGAAAACCAGCTTTGTATGACCACTGATGAAAAATGAATAAATCAGATTTGCCTATATAGAGGAAAATGTAAGCACTCAGAAGAAAAAAAAAGACAAAAAGAAAAAACCAAACAAACCCAACCAATTAAAATCTAAAAATAATCAAATGTTAAAGCTTCCTGCAAGAATTAAATCTTTGTGGTGGATTTTTGCCAGAGACATTGAGGAGAACTACTTTATGATGAGTACAAAAGAACAGTATCCTTCTGTGTGTTTACGTTACCACTGTAACTCCAGTTTATGAACATTTTGGGAACTGTTGGATTAGTCACCAAATAATAAAGGAAAACAACAACAAAAAAAAGTCTAAATATACTTGCATAGCACACGAGTGTAAAAGAACAGCTCCGTCCCCAAATCTTAAGTTTCCTCCTCTTGGCTAGCCTTTAAAACTGAATCAAGAATACTCTTTCTCAAGTAGCATCTTTTTCATTGCCAGTAAAACAAGACTGGTAGCAAAAGAAAATTCTAAACAGACCACATGAGGCCATTGGTGGTTCATGCTTTGAGATATGAATTCTTTTATTAGAGCTTTACTTTCTGTGATGTTTTAAGATTTGCTGCAGGTTCTTAAAAATGAATCAGAATTGCCATATTCCAAACTGCTGACAGTTTGGAAACTTAAAACATCCAGGACATGTCTCAAGAAATCCAGTTGTTCCCTTTGATCCTAGATTAAAGGGTCTGTTAGAAATTTTAGAGCTATGTAGTTTCTTACACAGTTCCAATTAATACAACACTTGAGCTTTATTCTGTGAATGTACAATAATGTAGAAAACTCCTTGGAATTCCCTCATCAGCTATATTCTATTTAAAAATACATGTATTGGTTTTATATCAACATCCTCAACCACATTCAATACTCCATTTATACCCTTAGGTTTAGCAATTCACAGAGCTTTAGCTTCACAGGTTCTTACCAATAAATCCCAAAATGCATGCATGGCTTGATTTAAGAAAGATATTTTACTTGTGTTTCATACACAAAAAACTGATAATCAACAGTGGCTTAAAAAATTAACACTACTGCACTTTTTCACAAGTGTACAAAAAAGAAATAATGAATTTACATTCAACAGTAAAGCTTAAAGTCCACTCTAATAATAGTTGCAATGACATTCACATACACAAGCACAGAATAAATATTTCAGGATTCTTATAAGAGCATACAGCATACATACAGTACTTGAATTTTACATAATGAGTGTTAGTAGGGTCAGAAATTCATAATCTCATAGAAAAGTAAAACTAAAATCAGAAAAGGTTACGTGGGAGGGAACACCAAGGTACTGCACAGAGCTAGCAGGTTAATAAATTCATTTGTGTGAGGAGTTTGCTTCTGCTTCTTCATATCTGGAGAGTTTCTTTGCAAAGGTGTATTCAAAGTGCAGATTAATGCCAACAAAAAAAAGAAAAAAAGAAAAAATATATATTCTTGTATTTATTAATACATGCAAGAGGCAGCCCCCAAGTCACCCGACAGAATAAAGCTGTTATTGGCAAGTGGCCGATATAATACAGATGTTTCAGGCAATTTTTCTAAAGCACTTTAGTAGCAGCAATTGTAATTTATAATGGCTCTAGATTGACTTCTGTTTGGGTTAAAGGGCATCATATTTCTTTAACATTTACAGCTATATTTCTTTATAAATAAATATCTCAGATAACAAATAGCATAGTTAATGTTTCTTTTTTCTCTCTTTTGCATAAGTGTCGTGGAAAAACTCCGACCTTTTCAGAGACATAATGTGCAAAATAATGTTAGAGTGGAAATAGGGACACAGAGCATCACAGTCAGTTACATTCCTGGGATGTCAGCCCAGCCCTTCTTACACTCCGAGGGCTAGCCTTGCCAGGGTAATGCAGGGCTTTAAGGGACAATTTTCCCAATGGCTTGCTTGGTAAGAGATAAAATTTATGGTATCTTAAAGAGCTGTAAATGTATTTGCAGGAGTGTGTACAATACGTCATAAGACTAAGTATTCCCACACAGTGACTTCTGAAGATTTGGAAAGTCTAGTCATCTCCTTTCAGACATTTCCTCCCCAGCCTGAACATCTTTGAACATTTGTGTTCATAGGTGTTTCCTCTGTTGCATATTTACCAGCTCTTCTTGCATTTTCTAATCTGATCTCGTATCACCTAGCTGACATCTGCACACAAATATTTCCAATCAGATAGAGGGTGCACAACATTATAAAACTTTTAAACCTGTCCTGTAAGTGTCATCAAGACAGGAGCACAGGAACCACAGTGCAGAGTCCAACCTCTCACTGGCTGTACTGTGAAGAGTCTCCTTTTCGGCGTAGGAGAAAGGAAACTTGTGTCTGCTTTTTAGATTCTGAAAACAAGCCAGAGTGGAGAAAAAGAGTTAACACCAGACTTAATAAAGCTTTTAAGACAAAACCTGTTAAGCAATTTAGACAGACACTGTGAATTTCCTGCTGATTTTCTCAAGTCTGTACATACAGGAAATTTGTTAACAGTAAGAAGAAGTTGGGAGTTGCTACATAGGAGAAATCTGCCATTATTACAAAAACTGGCTAAGTGGGTTCTTTCAGTAGAAACCCCTCACTGGTCACTGTTCTCAGTGGTGCTGTTGCCCTTTTCTTTTTTCTCCTGAGTCTTGTTTCCCTTCTTCTTTTTCTTCTTTTTCTTGGTCTCTTCCTTCTTGCCAAAGGTTATGAAGTCACTTTTGTCAATTTGGCTGTTTGGTGGCTCCTGCCGGATGGAGATGATTGCAGGAGATCCTGGGATAATGAATTTGTCTGGCAACTCACCAGGACCACCTTGTTTGGGATTGCCCGGTCCAAATTTAAAGGTCCAGCTGTTGCTGTTCACACCAGCTCCCACTGGGGGGGACACCTCTCCCGCCTCAGGTTCTGAAAAAGTCAAAACAGCAAGAAAAGCTTAAAGCATCATTAAATACAAGCAGTCAGTGAGTATCAGCTTCCTATTTGAAAGCTATGGCGTTAGCCTGGCTCTACATCGACTCTTGGTTGCCTGGCTGCTCATCTGGGTGTTAGTGACCGGTTCTTGTCCAGGCTGCTCAATGCTGCACTGACTCACTCCACATACTGCTGGGCACAACGTGCTCTGGATCCCATGTTGTGCCTTGAAATACAGTTGTTCTCTATTTTTCTTTTACATTTGAAGTGTATGGAATCAGAGATCGCTGTGATACAGCTCATGGTAGTGTTTTATAGCATGAATGTATATATGTATGCAATGTGGCTAAGCAGCAGACAGGGCCCCAGAGCAAAACCAGGAGTGAACTGAATTGCCTGGGTAGATACTGCAGGACTCCTTCAGTCAGGGTACAGAATCTGGTCTCAGAAATATTCATAGTCTTCTTCAAGGCAAGGCTCTAACAACCTGCTTTTTTTTTTTTTTTTGCCAGGAAACAGGATGACTCTTGTAAGAGAGTTATAAAGTTTTTCTAAACTATGAACTTATAAGTAAAATGGGAAATGGGAAAGGGCTGGTGCCAAATTTGTGGTAAGCTGTCAAGAATGGTTCAGAAGGAAATAATACTGCAGTGAATTCTCAAACCGGGAAAGTCCTCACGAATACATTTCCTTTTTCTTCTTCTAATATCATAACATAAAGGCTGAAAAACACAAGACTGGTGACTCACTCTTGTTTCTTTGAATTGATATGGTAGAATGGTAGATGATAATATTTTATACAAGCAAATATAAAGTGAAGTTCTTTCCCCAGCTTTAGGCTTGCAGTATGAAGAAAGTTTTAATTTTATTTCCATGATTTTGCCAAAATTGAGCTAATCACATTGAAATCTTTATGTGTGTTGTCCCAACAAGGACAATTTTCTAGCATAATGAGATGTAACACAAATCAGGTTCTTCTATGAGAGAAAGTCTTAAAACTTGGCTGTTTCCTTTTTTTTTTAAACTTTGAAAATTTTTTGCAATTTACATAACTCCCAGTAGGAACAGTATATCAGTTTTAGGGTGTTATTTTAAGTTTTTAAGGGATTGTGATCAGGGGAAAGCTCAATGCTTATGTATTGATGCTAAAGCCCTCAAATCTGTTGAAAACATTCTTATCTACACTCTAAAAGTGCAGTATCACAAAAAAAGGACCTGTCACACTTGCGACTCTCCTAGCCACACAGAGATTCTTGCAATACCACACGAACAATGCCAATATCACTGATCTGATTAAGTGGCAGCGTCAGTGGATTCTGCATCAGAGCTGTCCATTTGAATAGGTAAAGACCTTTGGGGGGGAAAGACGGAGGTGGGAGCTGCATTGATACAAGGAAGGATTTGAAAAACAGCCCAGAGGGACTCCTCATCCCTTGGAAGAGGAGGCACAGAAAGGAGAAGAAACGGAGAAGTCCTAGGTCTCCTGCAGGTGAAAAAGGGCAGGAAGAGAAAGCAAAGTAGACAATCTACAGGGATATCTCCAATGTTCTGCCAGACCAGAGGATGCTGTTGAGTAAACCTCAGCTACTGACTGTTCTGTACCCCTGTATGAATGAAGAATGTTGCATTTGCTTTGGCAGCCATTTCATGAAATTAACAGCATCTCCTGTACTTCTTATTCTTTTATGATTGCTCATCTTATTTTCTTTTTTTCTATTTTATGAAATAAGATGTATGTCATGCATGCACACATAAGGCTCTCCTGGTTCAAAAGCTAAAGAACACATTCCGCTACTTGACAATCTTTCTCTTGCCTGGTAGCAAAATAAACACTGCTGGAGAGCACGATTCCTTTTTAAGCTTTTCCATACTTACACAGTACATCCATGTTACAGAGCCAAAGAAATGTGTATACATGACACATCAAAACTGTCTCAGAGACCGTCTGTGTAATAGATTTGGCACATGGAATCTTTGTAAAGGAGCTGATATGATTGCTTTTACAATGCGATGTTTAATCAAGAATTAGAAGAGCCCGTACACTTCTTTTCTCCCTAAGATTGTATTTAATGATTAAGAAAATTTTATTTTAAGTTTATGTTCTTTCCAGGAACTGCTGAAGTTGTTTTAGTGATCTGAACCTCCCTAGTCTCAAATATCTTTTTTGAAGATGTTATTAATGTGGAAGTTCCTCTATTTTATCAGTTGTAGTTTTTCTGTAAATTTCCTATGGTCTTAACCATCAACTTCAGATTTTTTACACGTTTGTTGTTGGTAATAGCAATGTCCTAGCAAGTCCTTTCATACTAAATGCATTAATCTGAACCAGCTTTCATTTCTGCTTAATATAGTATTCTGGTCAGGTATGTTTCATATAGCTTTTATTTCTTTGAGACAATAAATTACAAAGGTGAATGCTGTGTGCCTTGGCCTTTTTCCAAATTATTAATCAATTGTCTTTCTCCAGCAATACAAAAATCTGAGCTTTCATATTGTACATAATAAATTAAGCCCTGTTTGACAAATAAATCCTTTCTCCTTCCCAACAAGCCCATGCAACATTCATTCCAAACAACACTGGCCCAGACCCAATGCTCTTTTCCTGTTCCTGGCAGGAAAAAAAAAAAACAGCTGAAGGTGACCTCAAAATATTTTTGAACTATCCTTGCCCTCATTGGGGAGAGCCCTGCAGCAGTGAATATTCCAAGAGCTGCTTTGAAGTGTACAGGGTTACCACACTCTATGGATCACAGTGCCACCACAGCACACCTGAAATAACACAGTGTGTCGTTATGCCATTTTGATGTGACCATATTAGGCTGAAGATAGGACATGAGACAATGCCAGTGACTTTATATTATCTGTTATACCACACAAATACAGTAACATGTAAGAACGGAGCGTACCTTTACAGTACAGCATCTCTTTTTCCTTGCATGAAAACTCTTGCCAGTCTAACAGGGTGCACATACACATCTGCATTCTTGAAATCTAATTCAGAACAGGATACTGACCCTTTAATCTGGTTCGGCCTAGACAAATCCACTCACCAGATGAAGTCAGGAACATTTATCTCAAAGCCATCTGACATAATGTATCCAAACACAACAAACCCATCATATCTACCCTGGAATCAGGATTCTGTCAAGCTAAAGACTAAGGGGGTTTGCTTGCCTTTCTATGTGGTTTTTTGCAGCCCCTGAATATGTTTGTTGTCCGTACAAACTAAGCATTTTAATACTCCTTAATACTCACTAAGCCAAAGGAAACTAATTATGTGTGCTCTATGGAGAGCTCACATACAAAAAGCCAGAGGCAGACAGAACTTAATGAGTTAATAACCATCATTTTCTGTGAGTGGGGCTTCAAAAGTCTCCTCAGGAAATTTTCCTTCTGCTGATTTACCTGATAACTTGTGTGTTTATCTGTATTGGCAGGCTGGAAGGTCACAGTTCAGCTGTATTAACAACGTTGTATATTTAGGCATTTCAGATCAAGGATAAATGTCACTTCCCACCTAGTTTCCAAAGCTTCCTCAAATATCTCTTCTGTTTCTTATCAGCAGTAAGTTAACAACAAAAACTTTCCACTTAGATGCTATTTTGCATTTAACAGGATTAGTTGTACTTCTCTTGCATATTTTCTGGATCTTATTGAATGCTTTAATGTCGTTTATTAAACCTAGAGGAGCAAATCTGCCAGCTATATTTATACCACTTAATTTAATACGTTACACTTCTTCCGACAGCTACATAGGGGGTTTTGCCAGAGTTCCTACATAAAAGCACAGAATCTGGCCATTTCCTGGCGTAACTCAAAGGATGACTTTGGAGACTGCCTCTTTGCTTTTTTCTCAAGGGATATGGCAGCCTTCATGTTCAATGACCAAATGATTTACTTTTAAATTGCATACACGCAGCAGAACCAAAAATCTAGGCTGCACCTGCAGCTCCTGATGCTTCTTTGCCTGTGTGTCTGCATGCTAAAATGGGAGATGAACTTTTCACCCCTTCCATTTCCTACTGCTCTCACCAAAATACAAGTGTCTCAGTAGACTTTAAATGGACCCTAGAGCAACAGAGACTCTGCAGTTGAGTAGATTGTATACTTAGCTGGGAGAAAAGGACTTCTACGTTGTCTTCAAAATACTTCTTTTTCTATCCAGAGACTGTTGTCTGAAATTCCCATGCAGATCTACATACTATGCCCCCCCATCCTAAAATCACCTATATGAAAGCTTGAAGCAGTAAGGTATGGTGTCTAGCTACCTTTTTCTCTTCTAGAGGCATTTATGGGTCATATGCTATTGCCCTCTACATCTCACAGGACTTGAAAAACATACAAATCTCAGTCAATACTTCAACAAGTCCTAATTGCTTTGAAAGCATCTGATTTCCTACACATTGTCAGATAGAAAGTGTCATGTGGGTGTCATAGGCTCCAAGATCCCAGAAAGGGAGCAGGTTGCAGACGAGCTGTGTCACCTCATTGAGCACAGAGCTTCTCACCCGCATGCTCCAGGCAGTCCTGATCTCAGCACACAGGTTTTTCAGAGGTACCTAACTCTCCCTGTGCTCTGTGCAGGGAGTCCAGGCACCTATTACAAGGAACAGGGTCCCTAAAGTTTAGCTTGTAGTAGCTGTAGGCCCCTTTTTTTTTTTTTTTCCTTAACTGTATCCACAGACTAAGGTATCCCTTTTCTAAATTCAGCCACCAAAAAAGGAGGCAGCCAATCTAAACTATTTAATTTCATTCTTGCTACAGTCTATAAAGAGAGATAGACATCCTCAGAAGGCAGTTCAACCCACCAAGCTTAAATGCCTGGTTTTAGGTGCACTGAATTTTCTTAGTTCCTCTCTCTGCTGGAGCTGTATTACCTTTGCTTCTTTAACTACAGATAAAGCCCAGACAGTCAATGTAAACTAGAGAGCTAACTTTTGGGTGGCTAGTGCAAAAGGAGCAGCTAAGCAGGATCCACCCTCAGGAGCAAGCTA